TATCTCTCTCTCTCTCTCTCTCTCTCTCTCTCTCTCTCTCTCCCTCTCTCTCTCTCTCTCCCTCCCTCCCTTTTCTGCCTGCTTGCCTGCCTGCCTACTCTCATCTTGCTCGGCTGAAATTAAATTCTCCCCATTATGGATGAGATAACATCTCTCTTGCTTTCCCACAGTCCATCTCAGTTTTCCTACCTCCCTCATCAAAGATGTCCCTTTGCTGTTATAAATGATCCACGAGAAGGGCCCTGCTCCTCCGTCAACTGGGATGGCTTATAGGGAACTGTGGACACAGCAGCCTTTGGCCAATCCTGGTGGCTTAAACAGCCTTACCCGAGGATTAGACATGCTTAGGACAATAGAGGAAAGAGCTGCAGAGCTGAGTCCCAGCAGCTGTGTATGGAACTTCCATGTTTAGGGGCAGTCTAGCTGTGTGTACCGATGGCTGGGAATCAAAACCCTAAGCGCTGGGGCTGCCCAGAGCCATCAGGCTGGGCTATGGAACCTCCATGTTCAGGGGCAGTCTAGCTCTGTGTACCGATGGCTGGGAATTAAAACCCTAAGCTCTGGGGCTGCCCAGAGCCATCAGGCTGGGCCACCGTGGAAAAGAGGATGTGAAAGTAAACGTGTCTTTGGTCAGATCCTGCCTTCCTCGAGGCTCTTTGGATGCCATTCTGCCTCTACTAGCAAAGCCAGCGGGGGAGATTTCACCCTCAAGGGCAGGAAAGACCTGGCAGCTTCTGAAAGAACATTCTTCGCATCTCACCAAACCGGTTCCCAGAATATTTTTGGGATGGGGGGGAGGAGGGAATTGGAGGAGAGCCACAATAGGCTGGTGGAAAAAAAGGAGACGGATCCGTGCAAGGTCTACCTGCTCTGGCCTGGAGGGATATTTGCCGTTCTAACTTTGCCACGGTAGATGACTCTTGACAGATATAATAATAACACGAATGATTTGGGGTTTTTGTAAGTCGCATATCAAGACGGTTACAGGGCACATACTTAACAGTCCTCTGAGCAGAAACAAGCAGGAGGAAATGCATGGGTTTTTACATTTGCATTCAGGTGTGTCCTGTTTCTGAGCGAAACGGGCGCTTCCCATCCAAACAGCCCCTTTCCCTTTTTTGACTTTTAAATTGTCTGATGTATGGACTCGCTGTCACCATGGCTGTCCCTCCGGGAAGCCTAACGAGGACGAGGAGGACGTTGGCCAGGGCTCTCCCTCCTCTCGAAAGTGACACAAAGAGGCAGCGAAATGGGAGCAGCCGTAATCTCACGACGTGACTCAGTTTCCTCTCCGTTGTCTCTCCCGGCATCCACCAGCATCTCGAGAGAGAGAGGCGTTTCCGCAGGCCCTTAGACGTAGTCCTTGCGGGCATAACTGCCTGAGGCGGGCACTTTCGCGGCCCGGTACCCAACTGTGTTGGGGTGAGCCGTGGCGGGGCAGGCGCCCTCCGTCCAAAGGGGGAAGCAGCCAAACACCGCTCCGCCAAAGACCGAGAGGGCGCCGGCCGCCCAGCCCACGTACAGCGAGAGGCCCAACTCGCGCTTCAGGGCCTCGGGCACCAGCGGGTTGTAGAAGTCGCTGACCACGTTCCTGGCCGACCAGGAGACTGGGACAAGGAGGGCCAGCCCAGCCAGGGCAAAGAGGGCCCCAGCCACCACAGAGATCTTGGCCTTGGTCCCGGGATCCCCCACGCAGCGGGTGCCCTCGGCTCCAGAGACGGCGACCAGGAGAGCCAGGAGGGAGGTGGCGATGGAGGCCATTGTCAGCGCCCGGGCAGCCTGCAGGTCCGGCGGGAGGTCGAGCAGCGAGTCGTACCCCTTACACTGCATCTGGCCGGTGCTCTCGTAGACGCAGCTCATCCACAGGCCCTCCCAGAAGACTTGAGCCACGACGAGGTTGGTGCCGATGAAGGCCGTCACCTTCCACGTGGGCAGCGCGCAGGCCAGGACGGCGCCCAGGAAGCCCAAGACCGACAGGGCCAGTCCGCCCAGCTGCCAGGTTGCCATGGAGGAGGAGGAGGAGGAGGGGCGCGCTCGCTGTGACCTGCTGGGGAAACAGCATGGCGACCCGTGAGAGGAGGGCAGAGATTTGCAGGAAGGGGGGCTTTGGACCGGCCCTACCATTAGGTGGGAGGAAGATCAGCACAGCAGGGACCGGTGGTGATGAGAACTGGGTGCCCCCCAACCCGTCCCATGCCCTTGAAGGCAACCAGCTGCCCCTACGTCTGGTGGAGATCCTCCACCCACCCGTGATGAGGACAGATCCAACTGGCCTTTGCACATGGAAGACGGGGAGGTCTTGAGGCCTTTCTCTCGGCCTCGGGCGGCCAAATGTCTGGGGCTGGCCATAGGAAACCGAACTCCGATTGGACCTTCCTGGGCCAAGTTTGCCAGGCTCAGCCCTCGCCCCCTGAAAGCGACTCCCTTTCCCAGGGGAGCCAGGCAGCTGAATCTGCTTTCTGGACCGGCGGGAGGCTTGGTGCCTAGCTGGGAGTATGTGGGAGGATGAGCCGGAAGGTCCTGAAAGAGCAACACACCATCCCAAAGCCAGTTTTTCCAGCCACCCCGCCTGCTAGGCGGGCGCTTAAGCAGCGTCTCCACCGAGACAGAGGCACACCACCTCTGCCACCCCAGTTGAGAGGAACGTCCCAGCCTCTTCCTCTGCGGAGATCCTGCAGAGAGTCAAAATGATGTCACACCCAAGAGGGGGCCAGATTACAGAGAGCACCTTGTTAGAAGCGGCCATTTATCAAGGGCTAAAAAGCCATCTGATTGCAAACCTCCAAGCTTTTCTGCCTCCCAAAGCTTGCAGGCCGTCCCGCTTTGCAGGGTGCTTGGCTGTCGGGAGCGACACCCCAGCTTAGTTTGCAGCTGCTGCCCAAGGTGGATGGGGGGGGTGTCGGGAGGCAAAAGCATTCACACGCTTTCGGAGAAGAAGGCCGGAACAAGCGGAATGCCTGTAGGATCAGCTGCCGGTGCAAGGGATTTGAGCTTTCCTCCTCACGACAGCCCTGTGAGGTAGGCCAGGTTGAAGAGATAAGGCCCAAGGTGAGATTCATGACCAAGTGGGAAGGATTTGCACTCGGTCTCCTGAGTCTTACCCTCTAACCTGACTGGACCGCAACCATCAAGGCTACCATTTGTCCCAGACAGTGGCTGTTGAGGACGGGGGGGATGAAGAAGGCCTGTCTCTGCCTCCTGGGCACGGCAGCTTTAAAGGGAACCTCCACCTTCAGCTGCAGTCTATCTGCAAACGTCAGTCAATGTAGGAGTGAGAGGAAGAGAAAGTTATTGCCTTCAGCTCCTGCTGAGGGGTTTCTCAGAGGCAACGGGCACCAAGGGCCTGATCTGGCAGGAACTTGGTGGCTGTGCTGGCTGGGGGGACGATGGGAGGTGTAGTCTCACCCATCTGGAGGTCAGAGAAGGTTATTGTACTGTAGTGAACCAAAAGCACAGGATAAGAGGCTGGTCGTCCAAAACATGTGTCTTTGGAAACAAGTTGAACCTTAAAGCAGTCTTGCAAAAACCCGGATAGAGGGAGGGAGAATCCTGGACCCTTTTTTTCAAATCCCTTTTTGCTTATTTAAAGCATGCATTGGGCTGTGCTTTTGCAACCTCGGAGCAGCCTGGAGAGAGAGAAAATCTCGCCGGACATCAGATGATAAAATAAAAATTTAAAAAACCCACCACCAGATGCCTGCTAGGAGAGTCACCCTTGCCGCCCTGCTCCCTTGGGGCCCTGGGTTCAAACATGCACCAGCTGATAAACCCTGGTTGCTGCAGACAGACCTTGTAAATCGAAGCAGAAAGAGAGAGATGCTATTACGTTCGACCAAAGGAAAGACACCAGAGGTCACGCTGACTTAAAAAAAAACTCAAGAGAACCGTTTTGGGAAGGTAATTTATTCTGGACAGCACTTTTCAAATCTGCTCAGTAATAACAGGAGAAAAATCCCCCCAAAGAAGACAAATACACATCACGCATTTACTCAGTGCTGTGGAGAAGGCCCTTTGCAGATGCTCAGAGACACCGCTGTGTTGCTGCCTACGTCTGAGGTTGGGGATTTGCAAAATGGAGAAGGGCTGACTTCTCCACAGGTCAGTCCGGTCCTGAGGGGAGGAGGAGGAGGAAGGCTCAGCCGTGCAAAGCCAGAGGAAAGAGAAGAGACATTTTAACTATTGACAAAAGAGGTGATTGTGGTCAACACTGGCTTGGAAGCCCCACCTTGATTAATTGCAGGATTGGAGGTAGGGACGCTCTGCTTGCGCTCAGAGAATTTCTTCCATGCTCAGAAATGAGCCCCGTGCTTCCTTGCTAGTGTTTATTTACATGCTGGCCCCAGCGTTGGCGCCTGGTTTCAGGCCTGGCTCCTCGGCTCAGGTCTCGTTATGCAAGAGAGGGAAAAACTTGTTTCCTTGCGAGCTGGTTGTTCTACCTCTTCTCTTGATTGCACAACGTAAAGGCACCATCTGGTCTCCGGAGAGCTGGAACAAACCTGAATCGCCAGTCCTGCCACCGGTCAAGTCACAGAACAACAAGCTTTTCTCCTTTAACCGCCCACTCCCTTCCTCTCGAGGAAGCTGATCTTTTTGGCACCGCTGGACAACAGGGTCTCCTTCCATCCGCTGGGGCGCTTGTTTCTATCTTTTGAGGTAGGAGAGACGGAGGCAGGGGAGGAGCAGAGGAACCAAGGTTTCCCATTTTCGAGATACAGTACAACACCAACAGAAAAAAAATATCCCCAATTAAACACCCAGGTGGGTTTAAAAAGCCTTAAACCCCGGAGCCCATGCTGACCGGACAGAAAGACACCCCGGACGACGAGGAACCGAAAAGTGTCTCTAAAGCCCTCAACCCATGAGATGGACCACATTTTGCGTGGATCTCTCTTTAAGGAAGACGTAGACATAGGAAGGCATCTTTACCACCCCTGCCCTCCTGGACTACAGATCCATCGTTGGCTTTGAAGCGGTCCCCAGAATCCACGTGGTCTCGTCCACACCCAAACTACAGCCATCGTTCCCTCCGTGTCTCCCAACGCTTGATCCCAAGGCAGAGAGCCGCCTCTCCCATATTCTCCAGTCCGGTTGGGTGATCTGCCGTCAGCAGCTTTCTTAAGAGCCTAATCATAAGGAGACGCTGGCAGCATCGGTTGAGCCGGGTGGTGGCCACCCGGGCAGGCAGACTCCCCGTCTCGCTCTCCCCAAAAGGATCCCGGCTCTTTGACGGCATTTCTGCCAATCGGGGAGCGTAGGGAATCGAGAACAAATCTTTCACCTTGAGGATCAAGGCATGCTGGCAAAGGAAGGTTCTTCCACCCTGTAAAAAAAAATCATACAGTCACTTCGATCCACCTCTGCAGTGGGAAAACCCCAGGAGGAATAGTTTTAAAAAGAGCCCCAGGCAAAAGGGGCAGAATTTAGACGTAGTTGCTGGCCGGCATGGATCGGGCCGCTGTGTACTTGGCGGAATAGGGCTTCTCGGATTTCGGGGGGCAGTTGCAGCACAGCAAGGCTCCCCCGAGGAAGAGGAGGCCGCAGGAGGCCCAGCCGATGTAGAGAGAGGCGCCAAACTCCCGCTTCTGGCTCTCCATCACCATGGGGTTGTAGAAGTCCCGGATGACGTTGTTCGCCGTCCAGCACAGGGGGATAAGGAGCAGGATGCCGGAGAGGAGGAAGACCACCCCGGCGGCGATGACGACCTTGGCTTTGGTGGCTTCGTCCTCCACGCAGTTGGTGCACTTGCCCCCGAGGACGGAGAAGAAGAGGCCCACCACCGCCAGGAGGATGGCGATGACCACCATCGCCCGGGCGGCCTGCATGTCCTGCCCCAAGGCCAGCATGGAGTCGTAGACCTTGCACTGCATCTGGCCGGTGCTCTGGACCACGCAGTCCATCCACAGGCCCTCCCAGATGATCTGGGCCACCACGATGTTGTTGCCGATGAAGGCGGTCACCCTCCACATGGGCAGCGAGCAGCACAGGATGGTGCCCAGCCAGCCCAGGACGGAGAGGGCGATGCCCAAGACCTGCAGCCCCATGGAGCCCATGGTGGTCTCTCTCTCTCTCTCTCTCTTGTTGCACCTGCAGCGGAGCAGAAACCCGGGAATGCTGCGACAGGTGGAGGAGACAGTCCTGTAGAACAAGCCGCCCGGGAGCAGATTGGGGGGGAAATTATAGGTTGCCACGGTGGGTGGAGTTCTCCAGTTCCCATCCAGTCTGAACAGACCAGGAGGCCCAAACCAGTTCCCCCAGATTCCTGCCCCAGCAGGGGCGGGATGGGATCGCTGCCTCTCCAGAATAAGGTTGCATCCTGCCTCCGTCTCTCTGATCCTGCCTAAGGAGGAAAAAACCCAGTCCTGGACCAGAAGGTGCCATCCGAAAATGGGATGAACTGAGATGGTCCAAACCTTGGGCCCCCCCGAAGCTCTGTCCCTTGTCTTGCGCTTCCTCAACCCCTATCCAGGGTAGAAGCCTCGGCGTTCATCCTTCGCGAGAATCCCTTTGCCCGTGTAGGTCAAAGTTCCCTCTCGTCCAAAGTGTGGCGAAACGTCGGAAGTGGTGGCGTCTCTCAACCACAGCGGCCAGCATGGATGTACCCCAGCCGTGGGTCTGGTGTGCTGTTTCAAGCCAGCCAGAAAGTCATGGCCTCACAAGGCCGTTTGTCCCCTATGTTTGATGTTCAAGGGTAGAGTGCCATTGTCCTCGGAGGCTCCATTTCATGGGAGCCCTGGAAGCAGAAGGGCGGCGTGCAAGCTGTAGTCCTCGGTACCTTTCCCACAGGGTGGCGCTTGTGTGTGTTTGTGTGTGTGCATGAGCTGCTTCCAAGGGACCATCCGCGAATGGATCACTAGCATCACGACTCCAGAGCCTTCTTGTTGTTGGAAAAAACTCCCCCCCCCCTTCCTGAACTTCAAACTTCTCTCGGCTCGCTGGCCTCAGGTTTGGGCTCTCTGATCTCAGCGCGTGAGATGCTCAGACCGGCAAGCCCGGTTGCATTCCCTCAGAAACAGATTTCGGCTTGCAGCCAAAAGCTCGCGCAATAAACCCCAGAAAAAGTTCTCGGGTCAAGAGACAGGTTGATCCACGCACCGCGTGGGTGTCTTTAGGGGTGTACGTTTGGGGTGGGCCAAGCTGGAACAGACCCAGGCAATGCGAGGGCGTGTGCAGACAGTCCGGATAGCTTGGAAAAAGTCACTTCTGTGTAGCTCAAGAAAATGCTGCAATGGGAGGTGGCACCCAAGAGGCAGGCTTCCATTAACCACAACAGCACAGACATGATCACAGCCTCCACAAAAGCAATGACAGTGTGGCCTAGTGGTTACCTTGCTGGCCTAGGACTCGGGAGGCCTGGGTTTTCAGAGTCACTTGGCCATGAAGCTCAGGGCGGGGTGGTTGGGAAACCCCGGCTGGACACTGTGGATCCCCTTGGTCTGCCTTCCAGGGTTGTGAGGGAGAAATGGGAAGGAGAACCGTGTACTGAGATTGTGTGAACAACGGTGGTGTTGATATCAAAAGATTTCCCCCAAGCCTGCGGGTCTGTCCTCTAATTCCACTCCCCACCAACTCCCACCGTCCGCCCCTCGTCCTTCTCACAGAGGATAAAGGTTCCACTGCACCAAAAAACACCACAACCAAGAAATGTTCCTCTTTCGGACTACATCTCCCATTATCCTCTCTCTGACATGGCTTCCAGCCATGCTGACTGGAAGGAGAGTTGTACGCCCC